TAGATCCCTACAAAACTGTATAAGTATCATTTTTTATTAAGATCCATAAAAACTAATATCTATTCTTGAGATTTTTTTTTTCTCAGCACCATTCCCAGTAATCACAAGATGGCTGCTGCACCGCATCAGCCGATAATCATCTCTGCTTACCGGAACCGCTTTCCCGAAACTGCATTCCATGGAGACCCACCTACAATTGAGGAACTGCACTAGACCCACCCTTAATCAAACCCTGAATTGCACTAGACCCACCCTTAATCAACCCTAAATAGAATCTATGTTCTTTATTGTTAAAAACTTTATGAGCTATTAATTGAAACACTAGCCCCTCTCCCGTTTACTTGTAATACATTTTCAATAAAAAGGCACAATAATTCCTAGCAGTTGTCACTCCTCAGAGGGCCACCTCTGAGGGGTGTCCGGCAAAGGACGTGCATAAAAAGGCATCGAGGCCTCTGTCTTCTGTTCACCTTCGCCGCCTTCGTCGAGATAACCCACCCACGCCGAGGCTGGACCCCGGCAGGAATTCATACTTAGAGGAACAGTATAAGCTAAGATTAGAGCAAGCAGAAATGCATAAGGCATGAGACTGCCTATAATGAAATTCTTATCAGTAATGGTTACTTATTAAACAAAATGAAACACCAAAGAAAATCTTTAAAGGGAAAAATAAACTGGCGTCTATCATAAATGGTCTGGAAAAACTGCTTCTGACCTGATTTGAAAGTATGAAACGTTGTTGTATTTTCATATCTTGAGCTCTACCTTCTACTTTTTCTTTCCTTTAAAATCAGTAGAACATAGCATGAAATTAATGTGCTGATCTGTTTCTTGAGGTTATATAATTGTTTTCTTTAAAAATAAATATCAGAAAGCTTGGGTAGATATTTACAGAGAACACAGGCAAATTCACCAAAACTTGAATAGATCACTATCAAGTTCTGAAATCAAAAAAGTGTCCATCAAATTATTTGCCAATGTAAGGAAAAGTTGGGTAGACATCTGACCACTCGCTTTCTCTGATGCAATTTGTTGTAAACCATTCCTCTGATTTTAGGATTTATGTAAAGTAATAAACATACCATAGTTTAAGTACTCATCACATTTTCATGTTAAGTATACTACTGAATTTTATAACCAGCTAAATCTTTTTCAGGCACAATGCAGAAGAAATGGTACATGGAGATTTTCCCAACTGTCAGACTTTAAAACAGTTGAAGAATCAATCAATTGCAAAACAGGATGGTTACAGATTATTTTAAAATCTAACATTTGGTTTACAAAAAGTCTCAAATTATATTTTATAAAAGAAGAGACTTGTAGTTCTTGATTTTTCACTGTTTTATACTGCTTTGAAAAGGTTCCATGGACTTACTAAAAAACATGAATCACACTCACATATTCGATGAACCTTGATAACCTTGTGGGTGACACCAGTGAAAATGAGTGAGTAGTACAGGTGCACTGGAATAAGAACGTGGCAGTACGAGAGGAAGGCAAGAAGGCCTTCAGAGTTCCACGGAGGGACAGCATGTGAGTCAGACTGAGAAGGACAGCAACATGAGTGCAGGCAATTACAATCCCAGGGGGAATGGCCACACCACAATCCCTTCTCCTCCATTCTCCTCTTGGGATCTTGGGCACACATGCACACGTGCCCGGCTGAGTTTGAAGCTGCCGAGTCCAGGACTCAAATTGTGGTTGATTATGTGTGAGTCCAGCGGTGCAACATTATTCCATCTGATGGTCCCAAATAATCCCCATTCTTAAAATGCAATGATCAATTTACAGCCAAAATGCTGGATAATAAAAACATATTTTAAGTTTCCAGTTAAAAAGTACAATCATGGCTAAGGTGTGGTGGCATGAGTGGGAAGACACTACTGTGTGATGGCTGAGGCTGCTTAGGAGGCCCAAGATGGGTTCTCAGCCTAACTGAAACAGGTTGAGCATGGTGGTGCATGCCCATGGTCCTTGCTAACTGGGAGGCTGGGGAAAGGACTGATGAGATCCTGTCAGAAATACTTCTCTCTCTCCGGCATATTCTCTCTCTCATTCTCGTGGAAAAAGAAAAAAAGGTGCAGTTGTTAAAAATAAAAATATACTTATGAGTCAAACATTGATGAACAGATTCCCAGATGGCAAAGTATAGTGCAGAACATACAGCAGAGTTTATTCTAAAAGAAGCAGTACTATTCCTGGCCCTTTATCTATATAATAGCTCTGGGGGCTCTCAACCATATTCATTGTATCCTCTGATGAATCTCCAATCTATTTTTGGCCCAGACCTTTTGCCTGGCACAGATGCTTAGATCTATCTGTTGAATATATCACATGTCCCAAAGGCACCTCAAATCAGACATGTCCAAACAAACGTATCTTTTATTACCCACACCTAACAGAGAATTTGCACTTTGTGCCATTATCACAACCCTCCCAGGTGCCCAAACCATAAACCAGGGTTTTTTTTTTTTTTGTTTGTTTGTTTGTTTTTTAAGATTTTTGCTATAGGGAGCATACTCTTGCCAGAAAGAGAGGGAAAGTGAGAAATCGCCTCCCTTGGGGGATGACCACACTACAGTTCCTTCTCCTCCACTTTCTTCTCAGGATCTTGGGCATGCACGCACACTTGCCTGGTGTGTTTTTAAAGCTACTGGACCCCAGGGCTCAAATTGGGCAGTCGGTCACACAGGGTCCAGTACCTTAACCACCACAGCACCTGCTGGCCCAGACCTGCACATGTCTTTAACTTCTGCCTCCCAGTCTTCCCTCCATCCAATCAGTCACCAAGTCCTAGAGATTTCTTCTTAACTCTTTAATGTATTCCTTGCTCTATTATCTTACACTGGGTCTTAATCTTTCCAGATAATTTCAACTGTCCCATAATTAGACTATCTTCCACTGTGGCTAGTGCAATCTTTGCAGTGCCAATATGATGATATAACTTTCTAACTGAAAACTGGTCTATGGAGCCTCACATTTCTCAATAAATAAAGAAAAGCAGACTGACCCTTTTGGCACACATGCTCTTAGCCCCTCTGCCCGCCTACTGAATTTGCAATGAAGTAAAAAAATAGGGTATTTGGTAGCAGAGCAGTAAAACTGGCTTTTGCTAAACAGGCAACAGTTTCTACCACACCATGGGTGCTCAGGGGCAGAAATCTCAAGGTTTCACCTGGTGAATCTGAGGGACCATGCATGAGAATCTCAAATCTACTCAATGGCTCCCCAACTAGGTGACTTCCAAGGATATTTGCCTCTTTTGAGCCTTGGTACTAAGTGGAAGGGACTGCTGGCCTTTTTCATATGTTGTCCTCACATATGTTTGCAGCTTAATTTACATGACCCAGATGGCCTGCAAATATTTTAAGCTAATACAAATGACTCAGTTTTTTCCTAATACATAAATTGTAGGGGATAAAAAGGTAGAGAGGGGGCAAGCTGTAAGTTAAAAGGAACTTGTCCATTAATTGAAATTATTTAGTTCCCAATTCTAACAAATTCCAAGACAGCAGGGTAAACTGAACACTGGATATTTGATATTAAAGGACTAATTTTTAAAGTCACAATATGTTATTATGCTTTTAAAAAGTCATATTGAAGGGCTAGCAGGCGGTGAAGTGGTTAGGGTGCTGGATTCTCAAATGGCTGACCGTGGTTGGAGTCCCAGACCTGGTGGCTTGCTTTCTTGCTTTCTCTCTCTCTCTGGTAAGTGCACATATCCTATAGCAAATTGAATAATAATAATAATAATAAATAAAATAAATAAGTCTTGAACAACAAAGTCACACTGAAATATTTATAGGTAAAAGCATGTGGGTGTTTGTGTGGTTATGGCAGTTAGGGCAGCGGGATCCTACATGGCCGACTGTAAGGTTCAAATCCAGACCTATTGGCTTGAAAAACACACTGTGTATGTGTGTGTGTGTGTGTGTGTGTGTGTGTGCCCAATATCTCAAGAAGTGAATGAAGGAGGCAGGAGAAGGGACTGCGGTATAGCCATCCTCTACTAGGGATGCTGTCTCACTTTCTCTTTCTCTCCCTCTTTCTTTCTCTAGTAAGCACACACACCTTACAACAAATTTAAAAAAAATAAAATTTTTAAAAGGGAAAAAGATATACCAAGTGAATATAGTTGCAGCTTCAGTCAGCCCTGGATCACAGGCATAAGCACTCCCAGAGTACTTAGGGAGGTTTTGGATGTGAGACCAAAACTTCCCATATGGGTCACCCTCTCAGAGCACTATCACTCTGTGCCATCAACCAGCATCTAGTTAATAATTATAGTGAAACACAGCTATGCCCATTCTACTGTGTAGCTGTGACAGAGATCATATGGCCTGAAGAGTCTACAATATTAACTACCTGGCTTTACGGAACAGTTAGCCGACCAAACGTGTAGTAAACACGTTACTAAGAAGCAAGGTTGCACCACTAATAAAGAATCTTAGAAACATTTGCTTTTAAAAACCAAAAATATTATCTTACCTTTTGTAGGGTGTTAAATAATGACTTGGATTTATTTTTAGAATTGGCCTGCATTGCAGTTTTAGTTAATCTGAACTCTTTTTCACATCGTGCTAATTCTTTCTTGAGTTTTTCTCTTCGTTGTTGGTCTGCATCTAAATGGGAAGAGAAATATTTTAAAATATGAAACAAAATAGAAAAATTAATTTTTTGATCTTGTTAGACTAATAAATGGAATTTTTTTCTTGATAAAAATGTTTACACTATGATATATAAATCAAAACCCAGGAACAGTTGGTGGTGTGATGTGGAGCAGTTGGATTCCACATGACAGACCGTGTGGTTCAGGTTCTGGACCTGGCAGCTCAGGGGACATGTTGGGTACATGTGTGCCCAGGGTCTCATGAGGAGAATGGAGGGAAGGTGACTGAGATATGGCCGTCCCCCCAGGGGTGCTTTCTCATTTTTCCTCTCTCTCTGTGTCTCTCTCCAGCAAGTGCACCTGCCCTGTAGCAGGGTTGAAAAAAAAAAAATCCATGTACTTTTCTGTATAAAGAAATACTAAGGAATATATATTTTATAGAAACTTATTTGGTTAGCCATTTAAAAAGTATAAATGAGATGTGATGAATTGGCCAAGTCTTTCTTTTTTTTTCGGGGGGGGAGGATATGACAGTTTATTTTCTTCGTCTTTAGAAAATCAATGTGTATCATTCAGAAACAAAACAAAAACTTATTACAAGTAATATATGCTTGCTATTGGGCCAAATGAAGGCAAATGACCTTCAGTGTACAGAACAGGCACATCTAAGACCATCTTAGAGCTCAGCCAAATTTATTTCCATGTTTCTCTGGCTATAACCAAATCACCATACAATTTATCACCCAACCTAGGGCACTTTGGAGAGAGAAATAGGGCACTTTGTAACTACACTCAATGGATTTGTTAAAAATGTTTTTATTTATTTTTACATTTCCACACACATTCACTTTACGTATCACAAAATTTTTGCTCATAGTTCTTGACAGTTAATAAACAACTTTCAAAATTTCAGAATACTGAATTTTAAAGATGTTAAAAATATTTTTTATAATTTTGTATAATTTTGTTTGTGACGCCAAGTCTTAAGATTTAAAAAAGCAAGTCCTTGCAAGATAATAGAGATGAAAAGGTTTGAAATGCTTATCCATGTTGTTTGTGACCATGTTATCAAACATGCAAAATAGAGTTTGAATTAGTACACAGACTTCTCCTCCAAATAAAACAGCGTCAATACCATCATAGTGTCATACCATCATGCTATTAAATATTATGTTTTGGGACAGCATGGTTGTTAAGGTGGCTGGATCCCACATGGCTGACTGTGCGCTTCAACTTCTGAACCTGGTGGCCTGAAAAACACACTGGGTGCCTGTGTGTGTATGCATTCTCCAAGCCTCAGCAGGGTAGAGAAATGGAAGAGAAGGGACTGTGGCATGACCGTCCCCTTTGAGGGAATGCTTTTTCACTTCCCTTCTTTCTCTCTCTCTCTATCTTTTTCTCTCTGGTGAGTCCATATGCCCTCTGGCAAAATTTCTTTAAAAATTAAGTCTTATGTGAGTTTTAAAAAAATGATGTCACAGGTCAGTCCCATACCACAGAGCTTATGCCCTGTGCATCAAGAGCCAGATTCCACATGGCCAACCACAATTGAAATCCCAGTCCTTCAGGTTTGAAAGCATACTGGGCCCATGTGTGTATGTGCCCCAAGTCCGGATAAGATGGAGAAACTGAGCAAAAAGAGGTGTGGCATAACTCTGCTCTACTGGGGGTATACTATCTTTGTCTGGCAAGTGCATGTGCCTTCTGGTAATGAAAAATGATGTGACATTTTGAAAACATTATTTTCTTTCTTTTTAAAAAATTTTAATATTTTTAATATTATATTTAATCACATATATCTTTCAATGTATACAATTTCTTTTCCAGCATGATTACTATGCATATCTGTCAAGACAAAGACATTACTATCTACGTCATCATCAGCAAATAGTTTTTCATTTTTGAAAACATTTTTTTTCAGTCAGGGCAACTGATTTCTATTTCTCTTACATGTTATTTGAAAATACAAGCAAAAATGTTGTTTCATACTTTAGTGTACTTTAAGTCAGGCAGAATTCATTATTAAAGTATTTTGCATAAAGATTAAAAGTGGAAAAATGAAAGCTAGCTAAATTTCAAAATTAGTCAACGATATTACAAAAGGATGAATATTTTCATATAAAATGGAAAATCCAACATATTCTTTTTTATTGGAATCTATTCCAACTTAGTGGACCAATGATTTCAAGTTTCCAATGACCCTGATCTGAATCAGAAATGATCTATAACTATAAGCTTAAAAAAAAGTAGTATATATGTATACTTAAAGTTTCAAGTGTAATTAGTAAAAAAGGTTTTTTTTTTTTCCCAGAGGTTTTTGCTTATAGAGTGTGAGCTCGCCAGAGACAGAAAGCGAGCCACAAGTCCTTCTCCTCCAATCTCCTCTTGGAGTCTTAAGCACACACGGCATGAGTTTTTAGCTGCTTGGTCTGGGACTCGAACTGGAGTTGACTATGTGAGAGTCCAGTGATGTAACCATTATGCCATCTGCTGCTCCTAAAGATTTTTAATTGCCAGAAGGTATATGCCCTCACCAGAGAGAGATGGGGCTGGGGGGGAGTGGGAAGAAAGCACCCTTCTAATGGAGTGTGGTCCTGTTACAAATCCTTCTCCATTTCCCCATCCAGTTGGGATTTGGGTTATGCATTGTACATACGCCTGGTGTTTTTTATGTGTTTTTTTTTTCTTTTTTTGCTATAGGGCGCATGCACTCGTCAGAAAGACAGAGATAAAGAGATAGAAAGTGAAAAATCAACCCCCAGGGGGATGGCCACGCTGCAACTTCTTCTCTTCCATTCTCCTCTCAGGATCTTGGGCATGCATGCACACAAACCCAGCGTGAATTTAAGCCACCGGGTCCAGAACTTGAACTGTGGTTGACACATGGGAGTCCAGCAACGTAGCCATTACATCATCTGCTGGTCCTGCCTGGTGTGTTTTTGATGCTATTGGGAGCAGGATTTGAACTATGGTTAACCATGTGGGAGCTGGCTCCCTTAACCACTATCATAAGGGGCTAGCCCAATTAATAAAGATTTTAACCATGCTAAAGCAAGTGTTTATCTGTCATTTAAAATGTAGACTGAAATATTATGTTCAGCTTATTCTATCTTAAATACTTGCTTAGTAAATATATTAACTAAATTATGGCCAATGATAATGTTTGTGCAGTGAATTAAACAGAATTTTCTTAGTCGGAACTATTAGAAAATAGAATAGTTTTAAATGATGCTATCATTTAAAAAATGTAATTCTATATTACCAAATCTAACCTACTAGTTTATAAGTAAATCCTCCACACGTCATCCACAAAAAATCAACTCCAAATGGATCACAGAACTAAGAGTTAAAAATATAAAACTCTTAGATTATTAAAACTAAAAACTTATAGTTTTTCAAAAACACCTATAAGTAAATAAAAAGGTAAAACAGAGATGATATTTGCAAATCATTTATCTAGAAAGGGACATGTGTCCAAAATATAAAATAACTTAACAAATGTGAAGACAAATAACTCAATTTAAAAATGGGCAAGATGTGGTGTGGTGCTTAAGGTGGCTGGCTCCATGAATGACCATACTATTCGAGTCTTGGGCCTGATGCCTTGTAAAACATACTGGGTGTGTCTGTGTGCGTGTCCAAAATCCCAAGAGGAGAACGGAGAAGAGAATATGGTGTGGCCATTCCTCTTGGAGGAAGGGGACGGTGCTTTCTCACTTTCTCTCTCTGGTGAATGCACATGCCCTATAGCAAAAGTTTTAAAAAAAAAAAAGTATAAACCACTGAGTTATTTTTCAAAACATGGACAATATTTATTTGGCTAGATATTTCACCCGAGAAAAATGGCCAATGTACACATGAAAAAAAAAAGGCTCTATATTATTGGTCATGAGGGAAATATAAATTAGTTCCACAATGAGATACTATTTCACTCTTGCTAGAATGGTTGTAATTAAAAAGAGCATCAATAATAGGTTTTAGTAAGGATATAGAGAAATGGAAATCCTAATACACTGGTAGTAGGAATGTAAAAAGGTATAGCTACTTTGGAAAACAGTTTGATAGTTTCTTAATAAGTTAAACATAATGTACATGAATACCTAGCAATTCCATTCCTAAGTATACATACCCAAAAGAAATGAAAATATGTCTACACAAAATTCTTGTACAAAAATGTTCACACTAGCACAATTCATAATAGCTAAAAAAGGCATGCTAATGTCCATCAATTGAACAAAATATATTACCCATTAAATGGACTATTATTTAGCAATAAAAAGGAATGAAATACTAAAAAGGCTAAAACATGGATAAATCTCAAAAACATTAGAGTAAGAAGTCTAATGCAAAAGACCATATAAACAATTCCATTGATATAAAATTGTTTAGAAAAGGCAAACCTATAGAGAAAATAAGTAAATTAGTGGTTGCTTTAGGGTAGAGGTGGGAGCAGAGCGTGGCTGCAAATGTATATAAGGGATCTCTATGGGGTAATGAAAATGTTCTAACACTGTTTTCGTGGTGATGGTCGCACAAATCTGTAAATTTAGTAAGAACCAGTGACCTTTATGGTATGTAAATTATTTTTCAATAAAACTGCTATATAAAAATAAAGCCCATTGGGCCAGCCTTTGGCATGGTGGTGAAGGTGGCTAGATCCAACATGGCTGACTGCATGGTTTGAGTCCCAGACTCAGTGACTTGAGAAACATGGTAGGTGCATGTAGGTGTGTACCCCAAACACCAAAAGGAAGATGAAATAGAGAAGAGATTGTGTTTTGACCATTCCTCAGGGAAAGCGCCTCACCTTCTCTATCTGGTGCTTCCTGCTTTCCCCCATGACCTGCAATCAGTATTTTTTTATTTGTTTATTTTTTCATCTAAGACAGAGTGTGTGTGTGGGGAGGGAGGCAAGCATCCCCCAATAGGGTCTTTCCACCTATAGCCTCAGCCAGCATGGATGATGGGCAGGCACATGCCTGGCACGTATAGGAAAGCTTAGGATGTGAACCTGAGACCCTCCCATGTTGATCTGGCATCACAGAACACTGTGTTACCAATGGCTGGCCTAACAACTGGATTTCCAGTAGGCATTTATTTCAAACTTAAAATTTCCAAGAATTAATTCCTGATTCATTTCCTCCCCCTGTATATTTTCCTATCAGATTCCTCACTAAGTAAATCCCAATTCCATTATTTTGGCTAACAGATGCTAAGCCTTGGGAATCATACCCTTTAGTTACTTTATTTTTTCTCTCACCCCCTGTCTATGTCCAGTGCATCATTAAATATTGTTGACACACATTCAAAAATCCAGAATCTACCCATTTCATTCTCTATATAATCACTTTTATCAGTGATATTTTTATGCTTTACATTGCTACTCAACATGTTTTTATTTCAATGGGAAGAACTCCCTTAAACATTTCTTGTAAGGTAGGTCTAGTGGTGATAAACTCAGTTTTTGTTAGTTTAGGAAACAATTTCTCTTTTATGTTCTTAAATCTTTAAACATTATATTTACTTATTCTATGAGTGAAAGATAGAGGCAGCAACAGCATCTCTAAAGGTCTTCACCCTGTGATTAAGTCTCAGCTTCAGTCAGCCTTGGATCACTGATACACACCTATCTGGTACACTCAAGTAGTCTCTGCTGTGACTCATAACCTTCCCATGTGGATCAGTCTTGTAGAACATTTCTTTTTACTGTTATAACACCAACCAACCCCTTTCTTTCATTTTAAAGGGTAATTCTATTCTTAGGGGGCAGTTTTTTCTTTCAGCGTTGTGAATATATTCTCTCACTTTCTCCCAGCTTGCAAGATTGCTGCTAAGGTATCAGCTAATAGTGTTATAGGGAGCCCCTTATATGTAATGAGTTGCTTTTCTTTTGCTACTTTCAAAATTCTTTGTTTCTGACTTTTGACAATTTAATTATAATGCGTTTTTGTGTATACTTCTTTATGTTCAACCTATTTAGGGCTCTTTGAGTTTTTTTTTTTTTTTTTTTTTTTTAAAGTTTGCTATAGGGCATATCCATTTGCTGGATAGAGAGAATAAGAGAGCACCCCTCTGGGTGGATGGTCATGCCACTATCCTCTTTCCTCTTGGGAGTTTTGGGCATGCACACACACACAACCAATGTGTTTTTTAAGCTGCCCGGTTCAGGACTTGAACTGTGTAGTCAGCCATGTGGGATCCAATAGCCTTAGCCACCATACCACTGGCTGATCCAACATTTTCCTTTTCTTTTTTCTAGTAAAAAGAAATTATTGCCAGAGGGCAAATGTGCTGGTGTGTATACAAGCACATTCAAGAGAAATCATGCCCCAATGGGGTGCCACAATGGAGGAGAGATCCCCTACTCCACTTAACGATAGCCAAAAGGTAGAAGCAATTCACATGCCATCAACTGACAAATGCATAAACATAACGTGGTATATGTACACCTGGAATATCATCTAGGGAGATTCTGACACATCACAACATGAATGAATCTTAGGTATCTTGTATTAATATAAACAGAAAGAACAAATAATGTATGATTCTACTGATATGAAGTACCTAGAACAGTTGAATTCACAGTAGAAGAAAGAATAGTAGTTTCCAGGGCTTGTGGGGAGAGGTGGATATTGTTTAATGGGTGTAAGAGTTTCAGTTTTTTAAGATGTATAGAATTCCGGAGATGGATGGTGGTAATAACTGTACCACAATATTAATGTAATTAATGTCGCTGACCTAAATACTTAAAAATGATTATGGTGGTAAATTTTATGTTATATATATTTTACCACATATATATATATATTTTTTTTTTTTGAAAGTTTTCTTTTTGCCTTAGGTCATGTGTGCTTGCCAGACAGAGAGACAGAGACAGTGAGAGGGAAAGTGAGAAATCACTCCCCCTACCCCCCAGGGGTGGATGGCCACACCGCAATCCCTTCTCCTCCGTTCTTCTCTCAGGATCCTGGGCATGCATGCACAGGAGCTAGGTGTGATTTTCAAACCACTGGGTCCAGATCTCAAACCATGGTCGGCCATATGAGAGTCCAGTGATATACCTGTTACGCCATCTGCTGGTTCCTAATTTACCATATTTTTTAAAGAATTATTTTTAAATTTAAATTAATTAATTAATTTAAATTTGACCAGAGAGGGACAGAAATGAGAGAGAGAGAGAAAGAAAGTGAGAAATCCAGTCACCAGATCCAGGACTTGAACCATGGTCACATGTGGAAGTTTAGTGCCCTTAACCACCACGCCACTTGCTGGCCCCCATATTTTTTTTATAAAGGGTAGTTTGTCAGAAAATTACTTACATTTGATGCTGGCACTCATGCTTACTGGAATTGAGCAGTCAACTGCAGCTAAAAGAGAAAAATTGGTTATTTAATAATCTTTTTAATATTTATAAATGACAACCAATACTAAAAGCAGAAATTACAAAAAGTTCCAGAACTTGCAATTCCTTGTTTAGATTTTTGTTGTATTTCTTGAGATGAAAAATATTCTATCTTTGATCATAAACAAACCAAAAACCAGAAAACTTACACTGGTTGAGATTAACAGTTCATCAGATACTATATAAGGAAATATTAGTAAACTTGAAAATACAACAATATAAACTATTAAAAATGAAACAGTAAAAAAAAATACTGAAGAAGAAATGAACTAAGCATCACTGACCTAACGTGTGTATCCCATACCTTAACATATTTATAACTGGAGACCAAAACGACCTCAGAAAACAAAAAGCAAAATGGAGGACTTGTACTGCCAAAGTGCAAGACTTACTGTAATGTTATGGCAATTAAGGCAGTGTGGAAAGACATAAACACAGACTTAGTGATCAACAGAACCAGAGAGACGTCTAGAAGCACACCCATGCATATAGTCAACTGACTTTCAAAAAGCACCAAGACAATTCAACAGGAAAATGATAATCTTCTGAAGAAAGGATATTGTAAAATTTGGGTATGAATAGGCAAAAAAATTTGACTTATATATGATATCACACATATAAACTAACTCAATATGGACCACAAACTCAAATGTAAAAGTTGAAATTATATAACTTTTAGAAGAAAACACATTAAGAAAATCTTAGTGACCTAAGTAAGATAGGCAAAGATTTCTTGAATAACATATGAAAAAATAAACTATCAAAAATCGAAAAACTGAACTAGATTTCACAATTTTTATATGTCACAAAATATTTTTCTTTCGCTTTTCTAATCACTTAAAATATAAACATTATAAAATACGAACTAAAATTTTAAACCTTTTCTCTTCAAAAGGAAGAAATTTAAAGACATTAAAAAAGCTGGTGAAATTCAAATAAGGTCTGTAGTTAATAGTTCTGTCAATATTAATTTCCTGGTTTTAATAATTATACTACTTTTTAAAGATATTAACATGAAAGAAAGCTACATAAGGGGTCGATGGTAATTCTCTATAATATTTTAAAACTTTTATATAAATCTAAAATTATTCTGGAATAAAAAATTTAAAAAGAAAATGAAATGACTAGCCACAGACTGGAAAACGTATTTGCAAAACATCTACCTGACACAGAATTATAAATAACTTATAAATAAATCTCAAAACTTAATATTAAGGAGATAAAATTCACTTTAAACAGTGGGCATGAAGCTAGATGGTGGCACAGTAGTGACACAATCCATTGTGAGGCTGACCCGTATGGGAGAGTTCCGAGTTCATGTCCAGAGACCTCCCTGCACACACCAGGTGCATGTGTGCCTGTGATGCAAGTCTGACTAGGGTTAGGGGTAAATCATGGCATGAGGATCTGCCATGGGGTGACACTGGAGTGTCTGTTTGTCTGATTGTCTTTCCTCCCACTGTCTCACTCACAGAAGAAGGAAATGAACTTTAAAAAGGCAAAAGACTTGAATAGGCATTTCACCAAAGATATATACATGGCAAATAAGAATATAAAAAATTGCTCAACATCACTGGGCATGAGGGAAACACAAACAAGGTATAAAGAGCTACTATTACATGGGACCAGCAGTTGGCGTAATGGCTATGTTGCTGGATTCCCACGTAGTCGACCGCAGTTTGAGTCCCGGACCGGATCTAGTGGCTTTAATTCACGCCGGGCGCGTGTGCATACATTCCCAAGATCCTGAGAGGAGAATGAAGGAGAGAGGATTGTGGCATGGCTATCCTCCCTGGGGGTGGGGTGGGGTGGGTGATTTCTTACTTTGTCTCTCTGTCTCTCTCTTTCTGGTGAGCACACATGCCCTATAGCAAAAACCTCTCCCCAAAATAAATAAATAAATAAATAAATAAAATAAAATAAAAGGAGCTACTATTACTACTATTACATATCCACTAGAATTGCTTAAAAAAAGGACTGCCAGGCTGGCAGATGGCATGGTAGTTCAAGGTGTTAGATTCTCATATAGCTGACTGCAGTTCGAGTGCTGGAGCTGGCGGTTTACTTTCTCGCTTTCCCTTTCTGTCTGTCTGTCTGTCTGTCTCTCCATGGTCAAATTAAAAAATTATAACAACAAATGGAAATAAATAAATAAATAATTCATTAAAAAATAAAACTTAAATAAAAAAAGGACTGCCAATACCAAGTGCTGACGTATGTAGCAGTAATGGAAATGCAAAGCAGAATAATCACTCTGGAAAACGTTTGCTACTTTTTTTTATAAAGTTAAACATACATTTACCATATTACCTCACAGTTCTACTCTAACAAACTTACTGAAGAAAAATGGGAACACATGTTCAAAGACTGCATATGAATGTTTATAGCAGCTTCATTCTTAAGAACCAAGAGTGAGTCAAAACAATCTACATGTCCACTAACCAATAAACGAATTATAGTAGATTCACTGAAATAGTATTTAACAATAAGGAGGAAGAAACACTGATATAAATGACAACATAAATTATCCCAAAGTGTTATGCTAACTGAAACAAAAGGAAACATATGACTCTATTTACATGAAATTCTAGAAAAGGTAAAACTAATCCTGCCAGGGCTTTGCAGAAAGGGGACTGACTGCAAAGGACGAGGGGACATTTCTGAGATAATGTAAATATTCTATAGTAGCAGGGTCAGCCAACTTTCTCCATAAAGAACCAGATCTTAAATGCTTTAGGTTTTATGGGTGATATAGTCTGTGACAGATAGTTAACTTCATCTTTTAGTGTAAAAGCTGCCTTCTGGCAATTAAAAACACACACATAAAACATAAAACACTATGCATGGATTTAAAAAATATTTTGCACAAGAGCCAGCAGGTAGTTTGCTGGATTCCCACACGGCCTACCACAGTTTGAGTCTTGGACCTGGCAGCTTGCTTTCTCTCTTTCTTTCTGTCTCCTTCTGGTCAAATAAAAATAATAATAATAAAAAATAAAATTAAATAATCTTAAAAACATTTTGCACCAAAATAAACTCGCTTTAATTACATTTTCCATGAACCTTCTGAAGTACCCTCATATTAAGAGCAGTGTCTAACAACAAAATATTAGGGACATCAGATAAAATGAAGTAATATGGGTGGTGTTATATAGATTTCAAATACAGTTAACAAAAATAGTGTTCTGAATTTTTTAAATATATATGATAGTTGCTGATATCTCACTATCCAAAAAAACAAATTCTTTTGTATAAAATTTTGCTACAGATTTATTCTAATGAGAGGTAAAGCTGGAGGTTTTCAATTGGGTATGGAGAGTTGACATTTACACATTTTTACCTTTGGCTGAAAGGATTTTATTATAGTGAACAGCCATGTGATTCTTGACCAACTGGAGAGTGCTTAGTCTGAGAGAAGAGGAGTCAGTGCAAAAAGCTAAAAATTAAAACATATTTAATCATTATAAATTTAAAATTAATATAAAATCACAAGATCAACAAGTTACTGATTAAGCTCCTTCTTATAAAACTTTTTGATATTTTATTATCTTTTATGCATTCAATCACTATATTACAACATGCAAAATGAATTTTCCCAGAATATACTATATGCTAGTCCAGTTAAAAATGTTATCATACACATTACCATCAACCGATCACTTTCAATTTCTGTGTCCCCTAAATGTTTTTTCTTTCTTTTCCCCCTTGATTCTC